TCTCTCTCTCTCTCTCTCTCTCTCTCTCTCTCTCTCTCTCTCTCTCTCTCTTTTGCCTTCTCCCTCTTTTGCCTTCTCCCTCTTTGTCTGTCTTTGTCTCATTTTTTTTCTTTCTCTTCCTGCCTTTCCCAAACCTCCCAGCTTTAACTCACTCCTACTTCAAAGCAGGAGTGTGGGTCCAGAATACCTCTCCCTCAGCCCAGCTCAGCTCTGTTGCCCCCAGGGGACAGGGGGACAAGAGTGACGCGGGGTTGGGCACTGCTCCCTCACACAGAAGTTTCTTTATCTCCATACTGCTCCTTTCCTCCTTGAAATTCTGATTCTCAGAACCTTCCCAGTCTCCCACTCTACCAGTTGCTGCAACCTCACTGTGAATTTGAGGCCCACTGAGAGAAACTACGTGTGGGGAGGTCACAGAGCAGATCGCCTTCAGTGGTCCCTGAGTAGTTTGGAGGACACTTGTAATGATCAAGGGTCAGATGAGTAGATTGTGAAGTTAGCACATTGGGGTTCTGTGGAAAGATCAGGGTCAGTGACAGATGGGGGTGATTAAGTGATTTGGAAGTTTGTGAGTAGTCAGGAATCAGTAGAGAAATTGAAGGAAGAGCAAATGTTGGGGGAAAGGAGTGTAGTTTGTGAATAGATTTGAGTTACCAGCTTGTATGGGAGGGAGGGTCAGTGATTATTTGGGGGTTTTGAGGAGTGAACGAATTTGGCCCGGAATGGAACTCAGGAAAAGTTGGTACATTTCGAAATCTGTGGTTGACAGAGACATAGGATACATCTGAGATCTGATAAATGGGTCGTTCAAGTCAGGGTGGACTGTGTGTGCAGCCGTGGGCATTTCAAAGGGTAGACCGAAGGGCTTCTGGGAGGCTGGGTATTTGGGTGAAGATCAGGAATTTATTGGTCCCTGCACAAACCCTGTTGCGTGTGTTTCTTTGTCTCTCTCCTTCCCCGCCCTATCCCAGGCTGCAAGATTAAGGCCCTGAGGGCCAAGACCAACACCTACATCAAGACACCGGTGAGG